TAACCATGCAACTATTATGCAACCTAGAAGGATAGAAAGAGTACATGAAGATAGAGATGGGGGAGTTAAACTCAAAATCCCGCCCTTTTGTGGAACGGCAGATTCTGAGGCATACTTGCAATGGGAAAGAAAGATAGAGCATGTGTTTGATTGCAACACCTATAGTGAAAATAAGAAGATGAGACTAGCTATTGCTGAATTTACCAATCATGCTGGTGATTGGTACCAACATCTCAAATCCGAGAGAAGAAGAAAAGAGGAGGATCCAATAGAGACATGGGAAGAACTTAAAGAAGCCATGAGAAAAAGGTATGTTCCAAAACATTATGAAAGAAATTTAAAAACTAAATTGCAAGGTTTGAGGCAAGGAACAAAAAGTATGTAGGAATATTATCAAGAGATGGAGACTATGATGGAAAGAGCAAATGTTAGAGAAGAAGAAGAAGATACCATGTCTAGATTCCTTGGAGGTTTGAATCGAGAAATTGCTCATCTTGTTGACAGAAATCCACCGCCATATCTAGAAGACATTTATCATTATGCTCTCAAAATTGAAGATCAATTGAAGGAAGAAAAAGAGCATTAAAAAAGGTACACATCACGAACTAACACCTTTTCAAATTCTAAAACTTGGAACAAGGATAGTTTTGTGAATAGAAATGAATCAATGTCACCAAAAGAAGAGTTTGTGGCTGCTAAAAGAGTGGAGGCTGAGAGTTCCATTGGTAAAAAGAATGAAGCTTCAAAGACGGTAAAGGAGAAGTCTAGTTCTATTCAATGTTGGAAGTGCAAAGGGTTTGGATTGGACACATGAGCAAAGAGTGTGTTAATAAAAAAGTTATGGTGATAAGGAATGGTATAATTGATTCAGATGATGAATGTGAGGATCATGATTCACAGCTTGTGGAAGAAATCGCAGCATATGATGATGAGTATTTTGAAGAAGGTAATTTCATATCTTTGATCACAAGAAGGGTACTCAATGTTCAAATCAAGGAAGAGAAATTTGAAGATCAAAGGGAAAACTTGTTCCACACAAGATGTTTGGTCAAAGGAAACCCATGCAGCTTGGTGATTGATAGTGGAAGTTGCACAAATGTGGTAAGCAGCTTCCTTGTAAAAAGACTTCAACTTTCTGTCCATCCCCATCCAAAACCATACAAACTTCATTGGTTAACAAACAAAGAAGAAATTAAGGTGAACTCCCAAGCTCTTATTTCTTTTACACTTGGAAGATATAACGATGAAGTTCTTTGTGATGTCGTACCAATGCATGCGGGGGACATCTTATTCGGCCGACCTTGGCAATATGATAGAAAGGTAACATTTGATGGTTTGATGAACAAGTATACTTTTACTTTGTGTGGGAAGAAATTTACTTTACTTCCATTGTCTCCATATGAAGTACATTGTGACCAATTGAAATTAGAGAAGAAAAGAAAAGAATATGAAGAACAACAGTGGAGAGAAGAAACTAAGGTAAAAGAGAGAGATAAGAGTGAAAAAAAAGAGAAAAGTGAGGGGCAAAGGATGAGTGAAAACCAAGAGAGAAAAAAAATGATTTTGAAGAAAAGAGAGAAAATGTGAGTTTAGTTACAAGAATGGGAGAAATGAGGAATATGTTAGCAAGAACCAAAATTTGTACCTATGTGCAAAGGAATGTGCTTAGCAATGGAACCAAAAACTGATGATGCTTTGCTGAGTGCTTTTAAGTCTCTTTTGCAGGAATTCAATGACATATTTCCACATGAAGATGCATGTATGGGGTTACCCCCTCTAAGAGGGATTGAACACCAAATTGACTTCGTACCTGGGGCAACTCTTCCAAATATGGCTGCCTATAGGACCAATCCCACCGAGACTAAGGAGATTCAGAGACAAGTGGAAGAACTCGTGGATAAAGGATATGTTAGAGAAAGCATGAGTCCTTGTTCGGTTCCTGTGATTTTGGTACCCAAGAAAGATGACACGTGGAGGATGTGTGTTGATTGTCGAGCCATCAACAAGATAACGGTAAAGTATCGACACCCTATTCCTAGATTGGATGACATGTTGGATGAATTATATGGTGCTAATCTGTTTTCAAAAATAGATCTTAAAAGTGGTTATCATCAAATTCGAATGAATGTGGGAGATGAGTGGAAAACGGCTTTCAAAACAAAGTTTGGGCTTTATGAGTGGCTCGTTATGTCATTTGGCCTTACAAATGCACCAAGTACTTTTATGAGGCTAATGAATCATGTTTTGAGAGACTATATTGGAAAATTTGTTGTTGTATACTTTGATGATATCCTTGTTTACTCAAAAAGCTTGAATGATCATATTTTGCACGTTAAGAAAATTTTGTTTAAACTTAGAGAAGAGAAAGCTTTATGCCAACTTCAAAAAGTGCAGTTTTTGTCTAGACCAAGTCAACTTCCTAGGGTTCTTAGTTGGAAAGAAGGGAGTACAAGTTGATGAAGAAAAGGTAAAAGCTATTAGAGAATGGCCAACACCCACAAATGCAACCGAGGTAAGATCTTTTCATGGTTTGGCTAGTTTCTATAGGAGATTCATTAAGGATTTCAGTAGCATAGCATCACCATTGAATGAACTTGTTAAAAAGCATGTGAAATTTGAATGGAAGGAAAAACAAGAGAATGCATTCAATGAACTGAAAGATAAATTAACCAATGCACCTTGTCTTGCGTTACCTAACTTTGATAAATCTTTTGAAATTGAATGTGATGCAAGTGGGATAGGCATAGGGGCTGTTTTAATGCAGGAAAAAAGGCCAATCATGTTCTTTAGTGAAAAGCTTAATGGAGCACAACTCAACTATCCGACTTATGACAAAGAGTTATATGCACTTATGAGGGCTTTGCAAGTTTGGCAACATTATTTGTGGCCAAAAGAGTTTGTTATTCATACGGACCATGAAAGTTTGAAGCACCTCAAAAGCCAAACAAAGCTAAATAGGAGACATGCTAAATGGGTGGAATTCATTGAGACGTTTCCTTATGTAATCCATTACAAAAAGGGGAAGGATAATGTGGTCGCAAATGCATTATCAAGAAGGTATGCTTTATTTTCTTCCCTTACTGCAAAAATTCTTGGTTTTAAACACATTATTGAATTGTACAAAGTTTAAAAATTTGAATTTTATGATGTGTATATGCAATGTTTAGAAGGGAAACATGTGCAAGATCATATGGTGTTCGATGATATGCTTTTTAGGAAGGGTAAACTTTGTATCCCTAGATGTTCTATTCGAGAGTTACTTGTGAAGGAAGCTCATGGGGGAGGACTTATGGGACATTTTGAAGAATTTAAAACATATAGCATGTTGTGTGAACATTTTTATTGGTTGAAAATGAGGAAAGATGTGAACAAAGTATGCAAGCAATGTTTTAAATGTAAGGAGGCTAAGTCTAAGACACAACCACCTGGTCTTTACACACCTTTAGATGTTCCTAGTGAACCATGGGTTGACATTAGCATGGATTTTGTTCTAGGATTACCAAAGACTAGAAGACACCATGATAGCATTTTTGTGGTGGTTGATAGGTTTAGTAAGATGGCATATTTCATTCCATGTAACAAAACAGATGATGCTACGAATATAGCTAATCTATTCTTTAAGGAAGTGGTTAGATTGCATGGTATTCCCAAAACCTTTGTTAGTGACAGGGATGTAAAATTTTTAAGCCATTTTTGGAAGGTTTTGTGGGGAAAGTTGGGAACTAAGCTTCTATTTTCTACAACATGTCACCCCCAAACCGATGGACAAACTGAGGTCGTTAATAGAACATTAGGAGCCTTACTTAGGTCACTAATTTCTAAAAATCTTAAGTCTTGGGAAGAGACTCTGCCTTTTGTGGAATTTGCATACAATAGAGAAATACATAGCACCACTTAGTGTTCACCGTTTGAGGTTGTGTATGGATTTAATCCTTTAACTTCTCTAGATTTATTGCCTTTGCCACCTAATATGTTTGCTAATGATGCAGCTTCTTCAAGAGCCGAATACATAAAAAAAATTCATAAAGACATAAAAGAAAGAATTGAAAACAAAAATAAAAAACTAGTCATGCGCAAGAACCAAGGAAGAAAGAAATTGATTTTTAAACAAGGTGACTGGGTTTGGGTCCATCTACGAAAGGAAAGGTTTCCAAGTCAGAGAAAGTCAAAACTTCAACCAAGAGGAGATGGTCCTTTTCAAGTACTAGAGCGGATCGATGACAATGCATACAAGCTAGATCTCAGAGGTGAGTACAATGTAAGTTCAACTTTTAATGTGGCTGATTTGACTCCATTTGATGTAGGGAATGAAGACCTTGATTTGAGGACAAATCCTTTTAAAGAAAGGGAGGATGATATGAATTCAACTGCTAACCCTTTGCATGTACCCGAAGGACCGATTACAAGAAGCAAGGTTAAGAAGATTCAAGAGGCCTATACATTGCATCTTCAAAAGCTAGCTAGTGTACCGGTTGAAACAAAGACTTTTGAGCCCAAAAATCTTTATAGCATTAGCATATCAAATCAAGAAAATAATGGAGTGGCTGATATTGAAAAGTAATTAGAAGACTTGCCTTTGGTAGTTGAATTACCAATTAAGGAAATTTATGGAAAGTAATTAGAGGACTTTCCTTTGTTAGTTGAATTATCAATTAAGAAAATTTATTAATGCCTTATTTGCTTCAATTTGTAGTTAATAGCATTTATTAGTGATTGGTGGCTGAACCATATTATGTTAGGGTTACCTTTTAGACCTATTTAAAGGCATGTAATACTCATGTTTGAGAGATTTTGTTGAATGCAGAAAAAACCTTTATGTTTTCTTGATACCCTTTTGGTGTTATTCTTTTTCAAACCTTGCTTTAGGTTTGATGTTTAAACCGATTCATTGAATTAGTTTTGATCAAGTTAATTCTGGAGTGAATTGTCTTGGTATCTAAGAGTGACCATCATAGATTCCAAGTTCGATCTAAGAGTCATTCATCTTCTAACCAGCTCTTGGTTGGAATCAATCCGTTAAGTTAGTTTTCTCTGTGAGTGTTTTGCAAGGATTCTAGAAGGACCTCTAGTTTTGCAAATTCCAGCATTGTAGGCGCTTATCAAATACCATTGAGACGTTCATTGGATTTGCCTCTAGATCTTAATTGCAATATGCAACAACTCCTCAATATCAGAATAAGGCTGTAAATCAGTCTTGTCTGCAATCTTTGTGTTTAACCCATTAAGAAACCGCACCATGAGAGCCTCCATGTCCTCATGGAGATCAAGTCAATCCATCAATGTATCCATTTCCTTGTAACACTCATCCACAGATTTGCGTCCTTGTTTCAATGCTCGAAGCTTTTGCGCCATGTCCTATTGAAAATATTGTGGAACAAAACGCTTCCTCATGGACTCTTTGAACTCGTACCATAAATAAATTGGTGCTTCAAGGTTTCTTCTCCTACTTGACATTAATTTATCCCACCAAATTTGAGCATATTGTTTGAATTGAGCAATGCATAATAGTACCTTTTGTTCATCACTAAAATTATGACAGTTGAACACTGATTCCACTGTTTTCTCCCATTCATGGTACTCCTCTGGATCGGTTTTGCCATAAAACTTGAGAAGTTTTAATTTGATGCTCTCCACATTATGATCAATTCTATCGTCATAAGGAACACGTTGTTGTAAATTATGATACCTTCTTCCATGGTCTCTCCCTCGCATCAAGCCACGACCAACCACATGTGGATTATCCTCATTGTGATCAGAATTGTCGCCCTCATATTTATCGGTTGAGGGCGCACGTAGTGGAATCCTTTGTCGAGCTTCATTTTGAATCTCCAATCCTCCTATTCGATTGGTCAACTCTTCTATTCCTTGAATTAGTCTTTCTATGGTTCGTTGTTGTGCTTCTCTCAATTGTGCATCAGTAATGTTAGGATTGTCGTCTGGATTTTTCATGCTACAAAAGAAAGTTAAAAGAAGAAAAAGAAAAAAGACCTCACAAGCGCTCTTTCACGTGTATTTACTCGTAAATTTAGTTCACTCGTATTTAGCACTCAACATCCGAATCAATGTATCACTCCCTTACAAACTCACCCTCACAATTGAGTACACACAAATCACACTAAAAAAAATTGGGATGTAAGACAAGGTATGTTATAGAGCTAAGTGCAATTCAAAGTGAATAGACAACACACTCAACACATAAACAAGAGTATTAAAAGAGCAATCCAAATAACAACGACAAAGAAACGAATTAAAGAAAGAAAATGATTAAGATTAATTTAGGCATAGTAACATATGAGAGTTACATATAATAATCAAGAGGATAAAAGAATACATTTAACATCAATAAGTTTTTTTTTTTTACTCCAAAATCTAATCAATTTACCAACAAAAAAAAAATTGATTTTGAAGATCTTAAAGAAGAACAAAGTGCTGATAAGATCGAGATCTAACACTTCTTAAAATATGGCAACATGAACTAAAGCATAGAAATAATGTTTNTTTTTCTTTTTTTTTTCTTTTTTTTTTTTTTTTTTTTTTTTTTTTTTTTTTTTTTTTTTTTTTTTTTTTTTTTTTTTTTTTTTTTTTGCTATATAATTTTTAGACAGAATGTGAACACACTCCACAAACTGAAAAGAATATATATGTAGATGAGAATCAAAAGAGATAAACGCAAGGAAACATATATCCAATCTTGAGCCTAAAGCTCTTATAGTAAATGATATGGAATCAACCCAAGGAAAATTATGAAATGAATTATCTTGATGATCAAGATCAAAGGTAAAGAAAACTCGTTTCTAACCTCTAACTCGAATCACTCCACAAGAGGTTTGATCAGTACCACTTGAATGACTCTAGCATGCAAGTTCTAAACACAAGAATCTGTAAAGAAGATCTCAAAATAGAAATTCTATTCCTTTTTAATTCAAAAATGTGATGTCCATCGTCAAAGAGAAGGAGACTTTATATAGCCTCAATAACCCTAACCTTTGAGAAATATCCATAACCTCCATATTAAAATGGCTAGTTAATGGTGGGATATGGTAACTTAGATACGTTAGAATATAACCTTAACTCCTATATTTAAAACAAACAAATATTTAAATTATAATTAAACAGTGCAATGAATGAAATGTGCTTATTTGTCGTCTTTGGACTAGTTCCATAAATTTTAGTTGAGTTCATTAAATGCAACTTAAAGAGTCATTCTCACCCATGTAAATTAAAGGGCAAGCCCTCACAGGCAGGAGTTCATAACTCACTCAGGATTAAGATCGAGTCGCATATGATCATCATGTGAAATATTAATCTTTTCAATTAACGGATTTATAAAAAGAGATTAAATATTTCTTGGTCCAGTATTATACAAACTCATTGTATAGGATACCCCACTTACATGTCTCTACATAAACGATTTGGATCAAATCATTTGTAACGATTACAAAGTGAGCTGTATCAATAGTGTTGCAAGGATAAGGTACCCAACCTTATCCATATACTATAGACTCTTTAGATTATTACTTGAACACGATTATCTTGTATGTCAACTACATACTATTCAAGATTACATTAATAATCTTGGATTTTCATACCATGGATAACAATTAAATTACAAATAAAATAATAAAAATTATTGTTAAAAACTAAATAATTAATTACGAGGTCTTAGGGCATAAATCCCAACAATCTCCCACTTGCACTAAAGCTGGTGAGACATCTGTCCTAGGGCGTACTCTATACCCAACATGTTCTCCCACTTGCCCTAGAGAATATGAGACGGAGAAAGAAGATTCGCGGTGAAGAATGGGGAGTCTCAGTTAGTTCACTCTCATTCT